GGGCATGGAGGAGGGCACTTTGGGGATGAGCACTGAGTGTTATGTAGAAACTAATTTGACAATAAACTATTTGTAAAAAAAAATAAAAAATAAAAAAAAAAATCACTACTCTTTTTCTTCTTCGAAGTTTACTAATACAAGGCAAACTAACAGAATTTAAACCCACCATTGATTCTGGCTCAATTGATTAGTGCATACGTGTGTAAACAGTCTTCTAGTTTTTATTATTTTATGATTCTGTTTCTTGGCTTTGCATTTGTGAATAATTGGGTGAAAGAATTTCTGGCATTCACAAAATATCAAAGCAGTCCTTTTTCAAGTTTTATGTTTTCTTCAGTTTGTTAAAATAGCAGACATTAAGTAATACAGATTTACCTGTGTAAATGTATATGACTTACAAATAATTGAAAATTAAAAGTTAAGGTATATAAAACTAAAATTTTTTTTAAAATTTTAACATTTAATTGTTATTGAGAGACAGAGACAGACCATGAGCCCCAAGGGGCAGAGAGAGGAGACACAGAATCCGAAGCAGGCTCCAGACTCTGAGCTGACAGCACAGAGCCCGACGTGGGGCTTGACCTCACAAACCATGAGATCATGACCTGAGCCAAAGTCAGATGCTTAAGCGACTGAGCCACCCAGGCGCCCCTAAAACTAAAATTTTAAAAAGTGAAGACGGGCACCTGGGTGGCTCAGTTGGTTAACCGTCCGACTTTGGCTCAGGTCATGATCTCACGGATCATGGGTCCGAGCCCTGCATCGGGCTCTGTGCTGACAGCTAGCTCAGAGCCTGGAGCCCGTTTTGGATTTTGTGTCTCCCTCTCTCTCTGACCCTCCCCTGTTCACGCTGTCTCTCTCTCTCAGAAATTTTAAAAAATTAAAAAAAATAAAAAGTGAAGACAATGCTCTGAGTATCCCTGAACAGAAAACTTTTAACTGAGTTCCTACTCCTGTCAAAGTTTTGTGTAATTTTCTCTTGCTGATACCTGGAGAATGTGAAGGAGGTGATGGCAGAAAGTGTGACAGAGAAATGTGTTTCTCTTTCACAGACCCCTGCCTGGTCTTCCCCAACACAGCCTTCTCTTGGAGTTTACCACCGCCCCACCCCCACCCCCCGCCATGGTGGTATGGTGTTGCATAGGCAAGAGTGCTTTCATAGAACTGTGCAGTTAAGAGGGACCTTAAAGACCATTAATTCTAACTTACTCATTTTATAGATGAAGAAACTGAGGCACCAATTGAAGGGCAATATATTTTTCTAGAATCAAGAAATATTAAACCATCCCTAAACAGTATTAAAGTAATAAGCTCAAAAACTCTTACTACTCCATTTGTTAATTCTTCCAACACATATTAAATTCCTTACTTTTTTGGTTGGGCATTATTTGGATGTTATGAATACAGTATTGAATAAGATACTCCTCACATTAGGGAGTTTACAGTCTGTTTAGAGAATCAGATAATATACTACTATTGCTAATTTTGCAGCAACATGAGTGAACAAACTGTTGTTAGAATATTGAGAAGGAAGCTCATTTTCCAGTTGTGGGTGGAGGAAGGTAAAAGAAAGCCTCCTCGTTGGAGTGAATTTTGATCTGAGCTCTGAAGAGCAATTAGCCAGGCAAAGAATTGAAGGAAAGGATGTCAGGACCATAAAAGCAGCATGTAAAAAGATTCAAACCAAGAGACCAGCGGCACAGAAGTCTTCTACATAGGCCCTTACAGCTCTGTATGTTTCTCCCTTTTTCCAAGTGGCTGGGGCTCCTTGCATACATAGGTATTCACATGTCTCTGTGGGCCATTCATTGCAGTCAGTACACTTTTCCTTGGCTAGTTTAGTCTCCTGCCTAGTATCTAGCTTCTCTACTAGAATCTAGGCTCCCTTTAGAGGAGTGGCCCTGTCATTGTTATCCTGTATCACCTACAACTAACTCAGTGCTTAGCACATGGCTGACCAGTAGATGTTTACGCCTTGCATAAATGTTTAATCTCTTAACACAGCCTTCAGGTTCTTCAGAGTCTTCTCAGACTCTACAGTCTTCTAATTTTCTTAAGCTCTTTCTAGAATCTGTGAAATGTCTGTGACCTCTCTGTAGCCCTTACTGGTTTATTAGCTACCTCCGTGGCCAGTCTGAGAGCTGCTCCTAATCTGCAAGTTTCACTAGCCTCGTTTGCAGAAGTTTACATTCATGAGGTATATTCATGTGCTTTAAAGAAACTGATGTCAATAACTCATTTGGGGTAGTAGTTAAGTGACTATTAAATTTGATTTAAATTAACTTGCTTAGTTCTTGCAAAGCCAAATACCTCCCCTCCCCTCCATCACTCCCCTTTCAATATACTTGGTAAGATTCAGGGTGAGGGTGGGGGTGTGTGGAAAGGCTAATGTTAATATTTGAGGCCTATGCCAGTCATTGGTAGTGTAGCTAAAATAGAATAGTGTCTCAAGCTATAAAAATCATTGTAAAATAAGTCCTATCTTCATTCTTTATCAAATACTTGGGGAATGCTGGTTCTGTCTGTGTCTCAAAAAACATTAGACTATTATTCTATGGTTTTCTGCCAAGTACTAGGGAAATTCTAGAAATGGACATGAGAAACTGAAGTCCTCAGAAGCAGGAATAAGTGCTCTAAATGCAATGTAAATTTCCGGTATTAACTCAATAAAAGGGATAATCTGGAGCTGGAAGGGAGAAATAATGATTGAAATTAGTCTCTTCCAAGTTCTGCAAATTTGGACAGGATCCAAGTAAGTGCAATGTTATCTCTGCTCTTTCATGCCTTTTCTTGTAATAAAGTGTGAAGGAGGTGTATCGGATTAGGGGCCTAAAATATGTGAAAGGTGTGAACAAACTGTGGAAAATGTGGTAAGAGTATCCAAAAGAAATTAACAAGATGATTGACCTCAGTGGCAGATACCCAAAGTGTATTTATAACATGCCCAGTTATACCTTTGTAGTGTTTCCTTCTGTAAGGAAAGTGACAATATTGTACCTACTCACAGAACTGCTGTGGAAGCCATTGGTAAACATGACTGATTAGATTGGCAATTTAGAGAGATAATAACTCAATAATTTGTGAGTTCCAGCTGTCTTTAGAACCAAAAAATTTTGCAGACTAGCTCTTACAGAGGGTTTGCATGTTGTAAAGTGAAACGAGCAAAGATGGCTTCACATTCACAGAAGATTCACTTTGATGGACTAAGAAAGACTGCATGCCACATGTCAAATGAAAAATAAATGTATCAAATATTGGAAACAATTTTCTTTGCTGTCTCATTTGAAAAACTGAAGAGTTTATGAGATTTGGAGATGTTAACTGTTTTCAGAGTACCACTGAAACAATTATTCATTCAACCATAATGCAGGGTTTTTTGCCCACAACGCAAAGTAAGAAGCATATACTACATGACAACACATTACACACATAGACGCATACAGACACCTAACAGAAACAAAAGTTTCACAAAACACTTTGCTCTGTCCCCTTATCACGTTCCCTGGTAATTGTTACTCTAGCGGGTTTCCTTTTTATTGTGGTTGTTTTTAATTCTCTTCATAGTCCACTAAACTAATTGCATAATTCACTGATGAACTGCAGCCTGCACTTTGAAAAACATTGCTCGTTCTAAGTTTTTTCTGACATTAGTTTCAGTTTTGAAATAGTTTCTATCTCATATAACTTTTCAAAATCAGGTTTTGCTTTCCTAACTCTGGCCCCTCGGCTTAAATTGCTTTTCTCTTCTATTCATCAGGTATCAACATGGTTTTTTACCACCTTCTCTGTCTCAGGACTGAAGGACAAAATCCACCACGTGGACAGCCTCCACCAGCTGTTTGCTGCCATATCACCAGAGCAAATTGACTTTCCTCCTTTTGTCCTTGAATATGATGCCCGGGTAAGAAGTGCCAGGAGCTCTCCCTCCCCTGGTGTAGTATCTTGACTACTCTGTAGGGCACTGCCTATGAGCACGGCATCCTTTTATTGCAATATGGTAGTAACACAATTCGTATGATTTAGTGAACTCGGTAGTATCTTTCAACACTGCACTAACTAGGAAAATGCTTTGTCCTAAGCATAGGCTTTTTCCCCAATAAACTTTTCATTGGGGGATTTTTCTGCTGTTGGTGTGAAGCCAACCCTTGCTTATATTGTCAGTTTTCTGTCACCTTTGCCAAAATTTCTCAAAATTGAATAGCTTTTTGTCTACATAAGTAGAGTCAGAAGAGTCTGTTTGTGTCTGACATTTTCAGCATTGATTCAGATAAGGTAGCCTATCTTAGTAGCATTTACCCTACTAAAAGTTTGTATGTTTTTAAGAGCATCAAGCAACCATATCAGTAGTATTATTACTTATTGACGCATTTATGAATATATGACTTTAACACTAATAAAGAGCTACTTTTGAGTTTCATTAAAGCTCTATCCCATTGTGTTTATTCTCACTACCACTTAATAGTTAAAAACAAAACAAAAAGTAAGTAACATACTTGGCCAAAAAGATCATCAGTCTCCTAATTATTGCTGATTACCAAACTTTATGCATGAATCAGGGAAGATATTTGAAGGTTATATTAAGCTTCAAGTACATTGTTCTTCCCCAATTATTGTACAGCACGTACACACCAAAATAAGTATTCTACAAGACATTTTCTCCCTACCATTTCTTTAACTTCAGCTGTAATTTCTGTCTTCCTTTATGTGAAGAGCAAAGTATTTAATGTGTTCTAATTGCTAAGAAAATTTCATGTTTCGCTTTCGTACAGAGAGGATTTGTAATTGGAGTAGCTGGATCATAGAAAGATTGTTGAATATGTGAAGGGGGGTCGAATATCAGTTTGTGTTCATGCAGATTTTGCTGGAGCAAAAAATAACCTTATTGTTATTCTTTTGAACTATATATCACCCTTTTTAATATATTAAAAAAAAATGGATAACAGGAAATGAAAGATACCAAAAGACATTTTGAGATCAAGACTTTGGAATGACAGTTCAAAGCTAGTGTCTGGATATATAATTTACCTTCTGGGGTAGAACATACAAGTTGGATTGCATTGGTTAGAAAACCCAAACAACTGTTTTTTTAAGCCAAGACATTTTCTATAATCTTAAGGGCCTATAAAACAGACTTTCATTAAACAACACCACGCTCAAGCTTGGTTTTGTTTGTCTGTTTTGTTTGTGTGCTTGTTTCAGGTTTTTCTTCGATAGTGTGTATCAAATGCAGGCCTAATTAATGATGTGATTAATTCAAATTTAATAAAATAACCTATAATCTAACACTGGGGTCATTGGATCATCTCTCTGTGCCTATACTATAGCTTTCTAAAATTGAGATTTTAGGCCCTCTGCATATAAAAGCCAAAGAGAAGAACAGAAAAGGGGAAGAAACCAAAGAAGGTGTCAGGAGATGATGTGATGTGGGAGGGGCTGGCAGAGGGCAGGTCACTAGATACTAGAGCTCTTTACATGTTACTTGCAGCACTTTGGCTTTGTGGTCAGCGGAGAGCACTGCCATTATATTTCTGTTTAGAACCATGGCGAAAGAAACAGCACAGAACGAGACTGGAGAAGGATAACCCCACAGGCCGGGAGATAAGTAGGAGGCATGCAGAGGGTCGGAGGAGAAAAGAGACTAGAGCTAGGGCAGCGGTAGTGATCATGGCAAGGACTTGAAAATCTTAGATTTGGAAGCAGACATCTTGGGAAATAAAACCCACTGCATAGGCCATTCAGGGAGATAAAAGAGGAAGGAAGCGTAAGAGCTTCTGCCGTGGGAGACTCGGTGGTGTGGCTGCACCCCAGAGAGGTGGTTTAGAGCAAGAGCATGGGAGGGGTGAGGTGGGGGGAGAGTGTCGGAGTCGGACAGGAGAGACAGGCGGTGTGTTTGCTCTGTTTGAGACACTAGGTTTGAGGTGGCCCGTGGAACATTGAGGTGGTGATCCAATAGGTGGTTGGATTTTACCTTGTAAGGAAATATTTTCCCTTGCTAGATTAAAAGTATAATTAGAGAAAAGGAAATAAATGTGGAGCTGGTTACTTTACTGACGTGTTCAGTTGTGCCTTGCGCATAGTAGGTATGGCATGGTGTTTGTTGTTGGCGGGTTTCCGTGGGCTTCTGTTTTCTGGGTCTTGTGTGACTTAGAACAGTGCCATAAGTTTTATGGGAAATGAAAGGAACCTTTGAAGGCAGTTAGAAGGTGATTTTTTTCTAGCTGTATCAGAATGGTAAGGAGACAGTTTCAGAAAGGGAGCTAGCTAGTCAGCACTCTTATAAATATAGTCAAAGAAGAGAGTATACAAATTGACCTGGCAACAGTTCTTCAGAGTTCTATGACTGTTTCCAGAAATAGAGAAAATAGATTGCTCGGCAGTCTCTTGCACAGTGTGAGACTAATATAAAAAGCTCTATTTCATAGCATTAAGAATTAGATTTGCCCTTCTTACTTTATCACAATTTAATGTGGATGTGAGAAATTTAAAAAAAAATATGGGAGTAGAATGGAATGGAGAAATCTTAAAGATGGACGACAAACCATTTCTTTTCAGACGAACCTCAAAGATTTATCTGTTGATGTCATTACTACCTAAAGCACTCTACGCATTCAATGCAATTCCAATCAAAATTGCACCAGCATACTTCTCAAAAATAGAACAAACTATCCAAAAATTTGTATGGAAACACAAAAGACCCCGAATAGCCAAAGTAATACTGAAAAATAAAACCAAAACGGGAGGTATCACCATCCCAGACTTTAGCCTCTACTACAAAGCTGTCATCATCAAGACAGTATGGTATTGGCACAAAAACAGACACATAGACCAATGGAACAGAATTGAGAACTCAGAAGTGGACCCAAAAGTATACAGCCAACTGATCTTTGACAAAGCAGGAAAGAATATCCAATGGAAAAAAGACAGCCTTTTTAACAGATGGTGTTGGGAGAATTGGACAGCAACATGCAGAAGAATGAAACTAGATCATTTTCTCACACCATGCACAAAAATAAACTCAAAATGGATAAAGGACCTGAACGTGAGACAGGAAACTATCAACACCCTAGAGGAGAAAGCAGGAAACAACCTCCTTGACCTCCACCGAAGCAACTTCTTACTTGACACATCCCCAAAAGCAAGGGAATCAAGAGCAAAATTAAACGATTGGGACCTCATCAAGATTAAAAGCTTCTGCACAGCCAAGGAAACAACCCAGAAAATTAATAGGCAACCAACGGAATGGGAAAAGATAGTTGCAAATGACATATCAGATAAAGGGTTAATATCCAGAATCTATAAAGAACTCACCAAACTACACGCCCGAAAAACAAACAACCCAGTGAAGAAATGGGCAGAAGACATGAACAGACACTTCTCCAAAGAGGACATCCAGATGGCCAACAGACACATGAAACGATGCTCAGCATCCCTCCTCATCAGGGAAATACAAATCAAAACCACACTGAGATACCACCTCACGCCAGTCAGAGTGGCTAAAATGAGCAAATCAGAGAACTCTAGATGCTGGCGAGGATGTGGAGAAACAGGCACCCTCCTACACTGTTGGTGGGAATGTAAACTGGCACAGCCCCTCTGGAAAACAGTGTGGAGGTTCCTCAGGAAACTAACAATAGAACTACCCTATGACCCAGCAATAGCACTGCTAGGAATTTACCCAAGGGATACAGAAATGCTGAGGCATAGGAGCACATGTACCCCAATGTTCACAGCAGCACTCTCCACAATAGCTAAAACATGGAAAGAGCCTAAGTGTCCATCAACAGATGAATGGATCAAGAAGATGTGGTTTATCTATACCATGGAATACTACATGGCAATGAGAAAAAATGAAATCTGGCCATGTGTAGCAACATGGATGGACCTTGAGGGTGTTATGCTGAGCGAAATAAGTCAGGCAGAGAAGGACAAATATCATATGTTTGCACGTATAGGAGGATTAGGAGGAACTTGATGGAGGAACAAGGGGGAGAAGAAGAGGGGAAATGGTGGGGGAAAGGGAGAGAGGCAAACCATGAGAGACTCTTGAATGCTGACAAAAACTGAGGACTGATGGATGTGGGGGGAGGGGGGATGGGCATGGAGGAGGACACTTGTGGGAATGAGCACTGAGTGTTATGTGGAAACTAATTTGACAATAAACTATTTGTAAAAAAAAAAAAAAATATCTGTTGAGGCGTGTTTCGTAAGCATGGCTTCCATGCACGCTGGAGATATAGGAGGAGTTAATATAACAGATCTTGATATGCTGTTCTAAAATACAAAAGGAAAACAAAAAGGCTTTCATTAATTTTTTTTTCAAATAATCTGAATGCAGCCAATCCTAGGATCTGTTTCCACCTAATTTTTAAAAATCTTTTTACTGTCTGGTCAGATCTATAATAGAAAGGAAGTTTTCATAGATATTCTCTTGTTTTCTGGGCTATGGTCCCAGGATCAATTCTTGCTCCAGAGTGTCTACTCTGAAAATATGAGAGCTCTTGATTCCCTTAGTCAGGAAACATTTAGCCACATACTGTGTCCAAAACCAAATAGATTTAATGCTCTATCATAACTAATAATAAAAATGTACCATAAAGCAATGCTATTTTCATCTGTCCCTCATTGTGCTCTCCTAATTATTATCTACATTAATGCTAAGCATTTCTGTGGATGATTTACTGAAAAACAAGTTTTTTGTCAAATGCTTTCCTTAGACATGAGAAATGAATCCTAAGTTCCATAAATATAATCAAAGGTCCATCTACCAGAAAGTGAACTGTCTTCATTTTTTATGAAGATAAAATCAGCCAAAATGAAGTCAGAAAATTTGCCCTTTACTCTTTTGTTTTGTCCCATCATTCTGTATTAAGATTCAGCACACAGTACAAGGATGCAGCCTAAAAAAGTAATCTGGGCATTAGATTTGAATAGACAAGGATTTAAATTCAGACTCCTCTGGTTACTACTGGGTGACCTTAGGTGAGTTATGCAAGCTGTGTGACCTTCGGTGTCTTCTTTGTAAAAAGAGGATGTTTCTGCTTCATGGCATTATGTGAGAATATAAAGGGATAACGAAAGAAAAGCACCGGTAAAGTGTCTGGCATAGGGAATTCAATATTAAGTGATGACGTTATTTAAAAATATTAACATCCTGATGACCTCTGCCCCCTCTCCACCAGCTCTGGCTTTCTCCAGTGAAACTGTTTTGATGGCCAAGGGCCTTGCTCAGGGCCATGCACATGCTACACATTTTACAGAGGCAGTGTCGTTGACTGTAAATCCCTTTCTTTCCCATTCCCATTTGAATTGGTTTTATTACTTAATGTCCTTGTCTCTTTTTTCTTCCGCAGGAGAATGGGCCTTACTATACATCTTATCCCCCATCACCAGATTTGTGACCTGCCATCTTTCAGTGCTGCTGGTTTCCAGGGACGTCACTTTCTCCACGAACCGCTACCTACTGAAGTGATATTCATTTTTGCTGTTCAGATCCAGAGAGCCTTTTGTCCCCACCTCTCTGGTATTTTTTTATTGACTGTATATTTTCTGGCACATAAGCAATCTGAAAATGGTAGGCCATTCCGAACTGCACACTTATTTTAAATTTGTATATTTGTATCAAACGAAAATGTTCATTCTTAGAGGGTTGTTCACAAAAACTGGGGAGCAACTTTTGAGTATTTTCCTGAAAGGACACTAGATCCACCGTTAGACAAGCCACCAGTGTTGTTCATGCCATCTCTTCAACATTGCACGCCTCCTTCATGTACTTCACTGTCTCTCAAAATATACAGAACCAGTGTGTGCTGACCACATATGCATTGTTTGCTTCAGGTCCTGGCATTACATTTTATGCAGATAATTTGGTTATGATAAAAGAGAATTGTCTGGGATCAAGGATGTGGAAATGTGTCGGATCAAAATATCAAAATCATTGGCAAAATATGGGTCTTCGAATCTGACCACACCAGTAGAGATGAAGATGGGAGGACTAGGGGTCCTCAGATGTATGATTTGTTAAGACGGCCACTCTTCTGGTCTCACAGTGGGGGACAGTAAGACTGTCTCTTCCGCCTTTTTCCTATAATCATGGGTGATTTGGTTGCCTTATTTTTAAGGACTGCACTTATTAGTACTCTCAAGTAAAGGTATCTCCTAGACTCTGTCAGTGACCCTATAGAGAGTGTGGTCTTCCCAGAGGTGTGGTTTTGTTTGGCTCTTAAGGCTACTCCCTCTAAGGACATTTCCTCACAGCGTCTCTTGAGTTGCCTATATCAGTATGGAGGAAGTTTGTCCCAGTGAATGGAATTCCAGATCGCATTTGACACTCAGGCTCTATTTGTGCCTTAGCTTGCTTATGAATAAGAACCGGAGTTATGATACCTACCTCACAGAGGTATCCTGAGAGCATTGAGAAAGGGCTTTTGATGTCTTTGGATGCAAGATGCTAGCGGAGCTTATGGAGGGTGTCATTTGGGCCAGTCTCTAAATGATCATAGATATGCTTGAGGGTACTACCAGGCGCTCCTCTTGTCCTTGGCACCTTTTGAGTCATTTTTCTTTTCTTGGGACAAGAGCTGCGAGTGAAAAATCCCAACCCTGAGGACCTCCTTCCTACTGTGTCCAGAATTTCTTCTGGGCTACTCCTCCCCCAATACTACACTTTAACAAGAGGCATCTGTTAGCCATTTTAAACATTTCTTCTTGAATTAAGGTCAAACCAGTGTCATTTCCATCTGGGTGTCTTCATATTCCTTTTGATTCCTACACCACCGCACACCACCCCCCGTCCATCCTTTACATTGGCAGTTCAGAGACAAAAAGCTAGAACTCCTCTGTTCTAATGTGTTCAGGATCAGTGCTTCCAAAGGTCCCATTCCCATTCCTCTGTGCCCCAAATTAATTGTTTAGTGGAGATAAAGGAAACCTCCTTCTTTTATGACAGAGAAATTCCCCTGTGGTTGTATATTAGCCCATACAAACAACAGGGGGCTTTACGTTTCTTCGATAAATGCTCTTATCTTTTGCACATAGTGGACACATTTGCTTTGTGTCAGAAATCAAAACCACTTGGCTTATTTGGTAGAAGTTTTTCCTATTATGTTCCCTAGGTCATCATATCCAGACAGCTAGTCAGTTGTCTGATATTAAGCCTCCTCTCAAGCAGCACTACTTTAAATCCCTTAAGCTTTGAGCTTAAAAAATTTGAAAAACTATCTTCATCTTCTCCAGTCTATTATTAGATCAGAGTTGGGGTATCTTTTCATTGGGAGAGGTCATTAAAAATATGCCACCTTTTCTTTTTTGAAAGTGGACTTGGCTACCTCAGATTGGCATCTGGCCCAGATCATTTCCTCTGTAGATAATAGAGGCCACAAACTACTTTGCCATTTGAAAGGAATTCAGTTGATGTGTACAGTTTCTTATAGGCAATAATTTTGAAAGAATGTCCCTTTACTATATTCATATGAGTATATTAATGACTAGTAACACAAGCAAGATTCTACATATAGTGAGATTCTGGTTCAGTTGATGTCCCAGTGTATAAAGGTAGTATGGAAGGATACACCTATTAGCCCCATTTCATAATTTAATGGAGTCTAAAGATAAGGGCTGTACTTGTCAGTAAAACTAAATTTGGTATGGGACCAAGCTCATGCTTTTATAGCTGCATAGAGTGTTACATAATGAAGTTGTTTCAATGCATTAAGTCCTATGAGGGGAACACAGTGATCTTACAGGGAAATGATCATGTAAAGTTCAGTATGTATCCACCATTGTCAAAAGGTTGTGTTGCCTGGATAACATGCCATTTCCAGGGACACATTAGAGGATAAAAGGGTGACTGGGTGGAGATGAGCACTAGCATCTGATGTTAATTCAAAGCCCCACCAAGTCTTTAATTTAATCCAACTTCGGTCATGCCACATGCTAATTGACTTGAGGAAGAAACAACTCCTAAAATTTTAATTTAACTCATTAATTCAATCAAGGCATAATAGGATTTTTTAAAACAAGTACATTTCTTCAGCATATATTTGGATTCTTCTTAACTCCTCTATGTGTCCAAGTTGCTTGATAGCAAAAATAACCTCTGGGGAAAAAAATTGTCTTTATTAGACTCTGAAGGCTTAGAGACCAAGTGGTTCAAGATTTTCTTTTCTTTAATATACATCTTATTTCACTGGCTGGCGCTCTGTTCTATTTTTTTTCCCAAAGGAATCCAAGTAGTTTGAGACCAAACAACAGGGGACTTTTAGAGTATTTTTGAGAGGAAAAATGATTTTTGATCAAATATCTGAAATCTGAAAGGATTAAAATATCTTGGCATTTCTGGAGAGGGATAAGAAGAATCACTCCAGTAGAAAAACACGGCCTGCCTGTTTCTCCCTGTTTTCTCTTTGCTTAGATATTGTTTAATGAATTCATACTGTAGGTAATGGTTTCTTCTCTTTGCAGTAGTTAATAAGAAAACGATAAAATGTGGTTTCAGTATAAGCTACAAATCACTCTTTGTGTTTCCCCTGATTGTGTGTGTGTGTGTGTGTGTGTGTGTGTGTGTGTGTGTAAAGAGAATTTACATTGATTAATACGTGAGTAGAAATTATTAGAATTTGAAGTACTAGAAGGAGAAGGACTGTATTCTAAGACCAGTGGATTGATTGTATTAGGGACCCAGAGGACTGTAAGGTAGCATGTACACCTCTAAAAATGGTGAGTTTCAGATTGTGTTTCTCTTAAGTTACAGCCATTTCTCTAGCATTACATGCGCTAGAGTGTTTTACCTACACTGGCACTGATATACCTCACAGTACATGATTGACTCTTGGTTCAGGATTGCCTGAAACGTGAAGGATTAAAGGACTCTACCTGTGATCCAGGTCATATCAGAAACCCAGAGATTATGAGGATTGCCCAGTAGGCCAAACCCTATACATATACATACATATATACATATACATATACATATATATACACGCATGTATATATACCCACACACACACATCCTATATACATATACCTTCACACATATGTACATGAATATATATATACACGTATACACACACGCACACAGTAATCCACTTTGCATCACATTCTTTGAATGTGGTTTCCATGACCCATATGTCGAGAACACAGAGCAATAAATAACAGTTCAAGGTTTGATTCTATCAAAATAACCCTTAAGTAGACGATATCATGGTCATTTTATGTATTAGTGGCTCTCTTGGATATTAGTTAATTTTGTTTTCATTGCTTCCAGGGATAGTATCTAATCTTTTTACGTGAAGCAAGCATTAAATGTATAGGGCCACTGAGTTCAAGAAGAAAAACATAGGTATTTTCTAGGTAAATTACACTAACAAAATTAAGACTGCTGAATGTGATCTAATATTTTTGTTGAACGGTTAAAATTAATACATTTTGTATATACAATCGTACTTTTCCTTTGCAATGTGTTAGCGTAAGCACACAGTCGTCATAAACTGAGCCAGCACTTTGTTAGGCCAGTTCTTGTGGGCCAAAATATTTAAATAAGAGTTTAATATATGTAAATGATTTTAATTGCTATTGGGCACAGAAGATCTAAAAATGTTTTATTGACATGATCTTAAAATACATTTATTCAGAATGCTTTTATGAATATTTTATTTTTTGTTAATGTTTATTTTTGAGAGGGAGAGATACAAAGCATGAGCAGGGGAGGGGCAGAGAGAGAGACACACAGAATCCAAAGCAGGCTCCAGGCTCTGAGCTGTGAGCTCAGAGCCGGACATAGGGCTCAAACTCACAGACTGTGAGAGCATGACCTGGGCTGAAGTCGGATGCTGAACCAACTGAGCCCCCCAGGCGCCTCTAAATATTTTACACTTAAAAGTATATTTTGGTCTTTCTGAAGTGGAAGTTAGATCCCATTTAAAGAGGATCCCACTCTGTGTAAATATGGCCTGTGAAGAGCTGGTAGTAAAATGATGGTGTTTATATTGAACCCTAGGCTGAGACAGTCTGTTTTGGCCATTTACACCTGGGTTTTCTGTAATCACCAAAGTTAACGTACAGAGTAGTACAAAATGCAGTGAATTTTACTGTCAGCCTTCTCTATGGGGACCTAGACTGGTGTTTCTCAAACTTTAAAGCACATACAATAAATCAGCGGGCAATATGTTAAAAGTGCGGACTCTGATGCAGTAGCTCTGGTATGGCGCCTGGGATTCTCAGTTTCTAATGGGCTCAGGTAATTCTCAATACCCCTGGTTCCCAAGACCACAAGTAAAAGAGGCTAGACTGTATTCAGCTTCCATATCTTCCCTGTTTTGAGGAAAGGAGACATAACTACCGGAATCCTTTCTGCAGGCCAGGCACTCTCATTCATTAGCTCATTTAATCCTCCAATTCCTGTGAGGTCCATGGTGACAGACAGGTTAAATGACCTGCTGATGCCCACGCACAGGCAGTGCAGGCTAGAGCCGTGTTTCTCAAACTTGAATAATGCACATCTCCCTTTAATAAGGAGAGGTTGTCTTTGTTCCTCAGTTTTCACTCCATTATTTATTATGTTAGCTAAGTATGTATAAACATAGAGCCACACATACGCTTTATGCTTATAGTTCTTGCACAATTATAAAGCCAAAAGGCGTTTAGATACAAGCCAAACTATAAAACTTGTGGGAATGAGCACTGGGTGTTGTATGGAAACCAACTTGACAATAAACTATTTAAAAAAAAAAAACTGATGCAATTTAAAATAACCTTAATGAAATATGATAGACGGCGATGTTTTGCGCAAACAGAACTGTCACCCGCAAGGCAGTGACAGTCCTGAGTGCCATAGCACAGGTTCTTTCAAGCTTAGCGCACACCTGCCACGTGCTGTGTGTGCCCCATGGGGACTCAGCTCTCCCTCTGTGTTTCTCAGTTTAGGCTGCTCCTTTCATTTGTTTAGCACGTCGTGATGTTAACTTGGTCTTCATCTAGCCTGAATGTTTCGTTTCCCTATTAAGTCAGCCTCTGTTCTCCATGAGCCTTCCGCAGCCAAAGCAGAACCCAGCTTTAATGTGCAAGTAAACACAGATGCCGTCTTAGGCACTTAAAATGTCCTGGCAAAATTTGGTTTTAAAGCAGTTTATACTAATAAATTAATATCCAGAACACGAATGTTTTAATTATTTTGGAATTTTTTATCAACATGAAAAATGGCTAATTCTCATGCATTCCCACACCAAACACACCCCCCCACACACACTCACAGTCCCTCCACTGTTCCCCCCCATCCCCTGACCCAAGAATTTTTAAGGATGGTTAGTTAATAGTGGTGCCCTGGCCCCTAGCACACCTGGGTTCAGGCCCCTAACCACCTTGGGTATGGTTCTCCACCTTTTCTGAACCTCAGTTTTTCATGTATTAAACAGGGGTAATAATACTCATTGAATAATTACGAGAAAGAAACACAATGACGCTCATAAAGCGTGGGTAGTAAGTGTTTATAGAAGGTAGCTACCATTGCTTTGATTAGAAATACTAGTAACTGGGGCACCTAGGTGGCTCAGTCGCTTAAGTGCCCAACTCGATTTCGGCTGAGGTCATGATCTTACAGTCATGAGATGGAGCCCCGTGTCAGGCTTTGCACTGGGTGTGGAGTTGGGATTCTCTCCCTCCCTCTGTCTCTCTGCCCCTTCCCCACTTCAGAATAAATATTTAGAAAAAAGAAATAATAAGTAACATTTGAGGACTTAGTATGTGCCTTCCACTTTGCCCTGCTCTTTATATGTTACCTTCTACATTGAGAGAGAATCAGGATTTGAAACCAAGCCTGACTTCAGAACTCATACTCTTTTAATGATGTTTCTCTGGAGCCAGAATGGCTAAGGTTTTTTTAAACAGTTGTATAATGTGTCAAGAAATTGACACAAAATAAATATGAATTGTTTTATAAGGCTGTTATGCTAGGTTGTGGTCCAGTAAAATGGTATTAGGACCATTAGGCTCAACTTGTACGTTATAGTGCTCTTGCACATTTAACATCTATAACTAATGATAACATGAGATTCTTCCTGAATCTCGATACAGCTTTTTGCAGAAGAAAAGAATCCCTCCCCCACCCCACCACTATTCTGTTTCTTGGTAATTCTGAGAAATAGTCTGCAGACATCTTAATCTTCACCTGTGAGGCATATTTTTCAAAATTTCCCTGTCCTTTAAATAGTTTCAAGTAAATCTTTTATCTTTTCTTAGTTTTCTAAAATAAATTCTGGACTTCTGAGAAATGAACAAGTATATCTGTAGGCTGGGTTTTTAGTGTTTTGTGGTTTTTTTTTTCTAATGGGATGCTGGGAGAAAGTGCCAGGAGAGAGTTATAAGAGGAACTCAGTTTTTAATTAACAAAGATGGTGTGTATCAAATTCAAGTTCTTTCCCTACTTCCTAGAACAGACTTGGCATGAGTCATTAAGGCAGTGGAGATACATGAACTATGAGGCTGTCGCTGAATTTCGTAAGGTCTGTTTTTAAAAATATATTTTTTAAATATATTATAAAATATTCTGTATAGGAGCATGATAATAATGTTGCGGAAATTACTGTGTTTCTGATCCAGCCTCTTTTCCCCATCTACAAGATCTTTAAGTTCAGTGAATGTATGGCTCTCCATACATGTCATCAAGACAGAAGATTTGTCCTCTGTGACACCTCCCTGCCTCATCCGTAGCACAGCGTAAGAAAATTGTTCTGTCTTCATGTATAGATAAGCCCAGTGTTCCCTGCTGTTCTCTGGTTTTAACAGCCTGTTACTTGATTTGGGTTGTGAGCCCTACTTCAGGTTATTTTTCCTCTTTCTCTTATTAAAGACAAATAGGTTCAATTTATTATAACTTTGGATGGAATGGCCTCTCCTTGAATTTGAAAGAAAATCCAAATTTATTTTTTATAAGGAGGTATACAAAACATTTGACCATTTCATTAGGTCTTCTAGTTGAGATGCATCTGACATTTTCATTTCGACATGCTTATTGGACATAATCACATTGGTTTTTTAAAACATTGTTTTAGGTGGGTTGTTATCTGTGAATTTTATTTCTAACAGTAAAGTAAGTGTTAAAATGTACTATGAAAGGGGCATTGGTTCTCACACAGATGAGGAAGCAGAGGCCCAGGCAGGGCAAGGCAGCAGCGTTGCGCTCCCAGCCAGATCAAGGAGATGGTAGGTAGTTCAGGGTGACCTTGCCATCGATAGCTAGAGCCCTTTGGTTTAACTATGTTTGCACAGCTGCTTGGCTTTGACCTTCCCTCTCAAGTCCTCTAAACAAGTTTGTTTTTTTTTAATTTATTATTTATCATTTATTTATTTATTTTTTTAATCTAAGTTGGACTTGCTCAGCCAAGCTCCCCAGGAGGACCAGAGTTCAAGAATTAGCAGCAGAGGTTATCAATCAACTTAAAGTTAGGTAAGTGAAGCTTGGACATGCTGCACAGACGTGTCCTTTGTAGAGTACTCAGTGCCAGCCCAGAACTGTGAGGTGCTGTCATTTCCTTGCTCAGTCCATCCTGTTGCTATGGAAAATGTTGTCTTAGTAAATCCAGTTTGGAGCCTCACATAACCCCCATGGAAGTTACACAAGAGGTGAGAAAAAGGGAAGAACCCCACATTTTTAGTTCAGAGTGGTGGAATGGCACAGGGCAAGACCATCGGCATCTAGGGCTTTTTGTTTTGTTATGTTTATAATTTATTGTCACATGTATCAAAATCAAGTTGTAAAATAATATCCTATATTATACTCTTACGGATATAAAAAGCTCTCATGATTATACCTATTTCTATTCTAATTTTATGGAGTATATCCTTTATTGGTATGTGCATTTTTTTTTACTTTTTACTTTTTTTGGCATCTTTATTGA